GAAAACGACGATAACCCTCAAATACCTTCAGAGGTTAGCGTTAAGAAACCAAAACCTCCTGCGATCATCTTAAAGACGGTCGCAGAGCATCAAGCAATCCTGCAGAAAGCGGCCAAAAAAGGTATTGTTTCTGACAATAAGTTTGCCAGATCAGGCAGATCTATTGTTATAAACACAAAGAATAGGGAAGATTACCTAGGAGTCGTAAAAATCCTAGAGGACCATTCCCCTAAGGTAGAGTACGTTGCCTACCCAATAGACAGCGATAAGCTGAAGAGGGTTATATTAAAAGGGCTCGCATCGAGCACAAGTACAGAACTTATTCTCAATGAATTGAGAAATAAGGAAATAGACGCAACCAGAGTGAGTAACATGTACTCAAAAAAAGAAGGAAAACACATACTGCCTTTCTTCATGATCACCCTCAAAGAGGATGACATCCACAAAATAAGAAAAGTAACAAACTTGTGCTATATGAGAGTTCGTTTTGAAGACGAAATCAAAACAACCAAAGAAACCCTACAGTGCTTTAACTGTCAGGGATATTACCATAGCTCCAAGGCTTGTCATTGCGACTCGAGGTGCGTAAGGTGCGGAGAGAATCACTTAAGCAACGAGTGCGGAAAGAGCAAAGAAACGGCCCCAAAATGCGCCAACTGCGACCAGGCGCATACGGCCAACTACAGAGGATGCTCTAAAGCTCCTAAAAGAAAGACCCCTGCCCCCGTTAAATCGGCAGCCAAACCAATAAACCCAGCAACAACAACCGCGGGTTTCAGCTATGCGCAAGCAACCAAAGGAGCCCCACAACAAGCGGCCCCAACAATGCAAGCCGCACTCATTGCTTCATTCCAAACGGAATATAATAAAAGAATGATGGAGATGATGTCCGTGATGGATAGGGCCACAAAAATGATGACTGCATTCGGTGAAATAAATCGACAATGCTAGCGAACCATACGGAAGATCTACGCATAGGGTCCTGGAATTCCGGAGGAATTTTCAAAAAACTCAACCTTTTGGACGAGATAATTAACAGATTAGAGCTCGATATCGTAGCCCTTCAAGAAACAAAATTAGTGGAAAGGAAGAAAACTAAATTTCCAGGCTACGATATCTATAGAACTGATCACAGAGCAAGATCAGGAGGAACAGCCATACTAGTTAAAAAAGGCTTAGAACACGAACATATCCCAACACCAGGTGGACTGGTCACAATGGAAGCCACGCTAGTAAGATTAAAGGCCAACAACGAAACACTAAAAATAGTGTCAGCTTATGTCAGACCAAACGAACCGATTTTCGATGAAGACTTGAGCCTAATCCTCGATACAGAAGAACCTACGGTAATTATTGGAGACCTTAATGCGAGATCTCCCAACTGGTTCGACAGAGCGACCAACAACAACGGGAGACGTCTTTGCGGCCATCTCGAAAATAGACCAAACACGTATGTGATCGGACCAACAGAACCGACATGTTTTCATGGACAACTTCCAACACATATAGACATTGCAATCCTACACAACGTGGGTCAACAATATGAGATACACTCTCTAAATGAAGGCGATTCAACGCACAATGTAATCGTCCTGACCCTGGGAGCAATAGAATTAAACTATTTGCAACCCCACAAAAGAAAAATAACAAATTGGTCAAACTACAGAAGAATTGTGAGCGAAAACATCGGTAACATTCCAACAATAAATAACATCACAGAACTAGAAGACACTGTAACAAAACTAGAAAACACGATAACAAACGCTATCGATGCCAGCTCCAAAACGGAAACAGTAGCAAGACAAAAAGGAAGATTCGGAGACATAAGTCACGAACTACAAGAATTAATCCAAGAAAAGAACAGAAAAAGAAGAAGAGCTTACCGTACTAGAACTGTAGAAGACAAAAGGATTGCAAATGAGCTAGACCGGGAAGTTAAAAGACAACTACGTAATCACAGAAATGAAAGCTGGGACAACTATATCCAAGATCTAGACCCTAACAAATCCGCCTTCTGGAAATTATCAAAAATCCTCCGACAGGACAAGAAACCCATACCTCCACTACATGGAGTAAACGGGATTGTCCACACGGAAACAGACAAAGCTGAAGTCCTAAAGGACGAACTAGAAAGAGCATGTAGAAATAATGAAAACCCCGACGAAGACATAGATTTCGAAGAAGAGGTAGAAAGAACAGCCAGAAGAATAAAGAGAAGAAAGGGCAGAGTAGGAATTACACATACCTCCCCCGAAGAAATAAAAGAGCTTATAAAGCTAACTAACGCGAAAAAAGCCCCAGGTCCTGATAATATCACAAACAGGGCACTGAAAAACCTACCCAACAAAGCTATTGTCTACATAACAAACATCGTTAACAACATGCTTAAACTACGATATTTTCCGGATAGATGGAAAGAGGCACACATTATTATGATAAAGAAACCAGGGAAAGACGGCGCTTTTCCGCAAAATTATAGACCTATCAGCTTATTATCATCAATAAGCAAGATAGCAGAAAGAGTCATACTAAAAAGACTCAACGATGAATCAGAAGCATTAGGCACCATACCTGAAGCGCAATTCGGATTCAGAAGCGAACATTCGTGTGAACTACAAGTTCTACGGTTCACAGAATTTGCAACGAAAGGCTTCAACGAAAAAATGTACACGGCAACAGCATTTCTGGACGTCAGTAAAGCATTTGACAGGGTCTGGCATGAAGGACTTATATATAAAATGAACACCATGGGGTACAGCGAGGCGATGACATGCCTCCTTGGATCATACCTAGCCAACAGAAGGTTCAGGGTTCGAACAGGGGCAACCCTGTCCGAAGTCGGAATCCTGGAAGCAGGTGTGCCTCAGGGAGCTGTGCTGTCGCCTTACCTGTATACCATCTATACGGCCGACACGCCAAAAGAACCAGGATCCCTGTTGAGTCTTTACGCTGACGACACAGCAATAGCTGTTAGCTGGAGGAATCCAGATCATGCAGCTAATCATCTGCAGAGAGCACTAAGTAGATTCGAAAGATGGTGCATCAAATGGAAAATCGCCTTAAACCCGGACAAAACACAGGCTGTAATGTTTAGTCACAGAAGAAGTGTACCTAACCGCGAATTAATGATCGGAAACACCCCAGTAGAGTGGACAAATGAGGCCAAATACCTAGGGGTGTTACTAGACAAAAAACTCACCTTTACGCAGCACATCAACCAACAAACGTACAGAGCCAAAGCGCTGAAAAGTCAGCTCTCAACGCTTATCGGCAGAAGAAGCAAGCTAAGATTTAAAACTAAAATCAGAATAGCTAATAGTATTATCCTGCCAGTCCCATCATATGCCTCCGCAGCATGGGGACACACCTGTAAAACAAACAGGAAAAAGATACAGACAGCTCAAAATCAATTGATAAGAGATGCTCTAAATCTACCGAGATATGTATATCTGAGAAAGTTATACAGAGACTCAGGACAAACAAGGATCCTACATACAATGGATAAAAAGGCATATGAACTTTTTAACGGATTAAATAACCACCCAAGTAGCATGCTAAGAGAGCTGACTAATTACAATGCAAACACCAGGACACTACACAGAAGACCTAAACAGCAAATAGCCGGATATAGGGTCCCAAACTAATAAATGAAGAATGAGATGGTCGCAAAAACGTCGAATAAAAAAATGCAGTCATCAGAAAAACAACCCCCAAAAAAATCTTATTTTTAGGACTCTCGCGAGAGGGTACAGGTGCCAAGGCACTTAGATAAGAACAATATACACCGGGGTGTGTGGAGGCCATATACACCCTGCAATGCACACCCCACCACACCGCACACATATTTAGCATGTAAGAGTAAAAGGGTAAGAATTGTGCAGGCATTTTATTGTTCCATCGCCAAGGAAGACCCCCCAAAACCCCACAAAAAAAAAAAAAAAAAAAAATGGTTGTTTTTCTCTTAAATTAAGTAGATTCATTTCAAATTCAATTCAAATAACTAAACGTAAAGTAACACATACCAATTTTCTATATAGAAGACCCGTCAGGCCTTCTATATACCGCTGATGCGGAATTGGCCCTTAAGGCGGATCTAATGAATACTGATCCTTTCGCGACTCCCGAGCACTGAGACCATGTGCGGCAAACATGAGCTTGGTGGCCGGACCCTCTCGGGTGCCCAGCCGGCGAGGAGAACAAAATTTATTTTGCCAAATAGGCGGCTGAGTGACCGAGCACACACATATCTTTCCGGGCATGAAGTCGACAGCCCAGGCTGTCGACTTCATGTGCGGAACACACACGCTATTTTTTATTATTTTTATGTTAGGGACTTCAGTCCCGAAGTGCAGTCCGAGTAAAATCAATAGAGTCAGTAAAGTAATTAGGGAGAAAAGCCTAGATGTGGCTACCCCTACAGTTAGGTGGCATAACCACAGTCATTAAAAACAGGAGATGTCTCATTACCCAGGGCATCTCAAGTAACTTTCAGATCATAGCCTCCTCACGTCAGTCGTACGATGAGGAGGGGTGGAGGAAAAGCCTGGGGGTCAGATAGGTACCACTTCAACTAGTAAAGTGTGACCGGTTTGATCTTCGGACATGTGGATCCCATTCTTATATTGGTATACACATGTTCCTAGGGGTAGGGTTGATCGCTTAGCGTGATTGTGTGTGTGTATGTCTTGACCACTTTTACTAAGGATTTTTTTCTCCTAAAGTTATAACATGAATAGTTTCTGATATTATATAGCCGAGAGATCGGCTTATTGGACTACCCGGTATATATTACACGTTAGTGCATTTTCTTATAAATGTTTTCAAATTCAACTAATCCGTATAAACTAGTGTTATTAAGTTAAACAATACAAACATGTGTTATCTTTGATAAGAGATTCAGATAAATTATACTGCCTAAAAGATTTTTCGTACATTGTCTAGTGTTAAAATTTTTACCTATAATTAGTTAAAAGTTCGTGATTGTTGTGACCTAATGTTGTAGTTACTTAAGAAAAATACGGCTTAGTTGTTTAATTTATAAAAGTAAGTTATTATAAAACAAATAATTGGAATACTTAACAATTTAATTAAATAATTCCAAATCTTATCACCTATATCATAATATGTAATCTTTTTTCGATAACTGATTTTTTATATTGATATGATACGCATATTTTTCACAGATTTGTTTTATTGACAGTTGTTTAACTGCGCTACCCGTACTATGATCTGTAAAAAGATCATCAAGTAACTTATTAATATGAACATTATTTTTTTATAACTAAACTTTTTTATCGAATATATTTTAGACGTAGTTTCAGAACAGTACTTTCTGCCTCCGTGTTTTTCAGGTAGGACTAAGACTATAAATTGTTTTTATTTATTTATTCCTTGTTCAAAATCTTCAAAACATAAATTTGCGAAAAAACTTTATCTTAATATTACGTTTTTCCAACTTGTGGCTATATTTTATCTTCGTCTAAAAGCAATGAGGGTATATGTTTCATACCCTAAGCTATTTCTTTGTATCTAAGCTCAATATAACGCTACATTGTTTTTACTTTTACGACCTTCTTAGGTGAACCTATGTTTTGCTATTTTTAATATGTTTTGTATATTATTTTTACTTTTACAATAGTAAAAATCATTTACTATAGTTGAGATTTAGCGTATTTTAGAGGAATATAGTCTCGGTTATATGGATAATTTCAGCATGTTAAATTAACAAACAAATTAACGCAATTTTATCTGACAACAAAATCAGAAATAATTTTAGCCACTGAAGAGGACGATTTAAATAAAAAAATTAAAATAAGTTTGGACTTAAATGTCTACTACATATACTGGAAAGTAAAAATATTATAACACAATTTAAATATCAAACTTGATGGGCGAAACATTCATGCAAATTTTCATAATTTATGTTGTCTTTATTTATAAAAAAGTATCCTTGTCCCTTTTTTAAACACTCTTTGTTAAAAACGTTTATTTGTTTTTTATATTCACGTACCTTATTAACATTGGCGATTAATATGGCAAGATCCCCTATTTTGAATTATGTAAAACGCTTATTTGACTTTCCATATCCTGGTCTCATGTCTTATTATCATTCTTCAACCACGAGGTGTTTCTTCTACCAATACCTTTGCTTCCTTCAATTTTACCAATCAGAATTAGTCGAAGAATAATATACTGTTTCCCTGTATTATATGTCCACAATATGATATTTTTCTGGATTTGATGCTATCAAGTATCTGACTAGTTGCTTTTGCTCTATTAAGAACTGATTAATTTTTCAACATTTCAAAAGGCTCTAAGCGGTCAATAGCCGATATTTTCAAGGTTCATGGATGTTAATGCAAACCACTATCAAGTTAAAATATAAAGTATATCATTTCCTTATAAATAAACGTGACAGTTGACCAGTTTTAGATTAACACTAAATAGACAGACTTAAACAGACTTAAATATTATATACCGAGTGAGATGGGGTTCGACAAAACATTATGAGTAAATTTTTTAGGTTTTGGAACACCCATTGAAAATAAATTTAAATTCCTGACTTAATGAGTATTCGTTACATTTTTTAGTTATTATCGGTTTTGGTAATATATTATAAAAAATCCTGAATAACTTAAATCAACATATTATACATATTATTCTAAATGATATGCGATAGGTTGCACCTACAATTAAAATTTTCTTAAAAATTTGATAGAAGGACTTGTCAAAAGTGACAGGAACATTACGTGTTACAACTTAAACAGATTGTAATATATAATTATGTGTTACAAAAAGTTTGAACCTATTCAGAGAAAGTAGTTATATAAATTGAGTCCAGTCATAATAAAAGAAAAAGTAATAGTTTGAATTGGTTGTTGCACAGTTAACTAAACATTCTTTAGTTTTCTGCAAACTTCTTTATTATTTTGTGCAGCTCTCCGAAAGCTAGCACAGTTACTGCAGCACTTAAATACCAAAAATTCGACAAGAATAAAAGAATTAATTACTATTAGACTGGGAATAAGCCACAATTAAAGATAAAAATACGTTTATTGACGTTGATTTAGTTAAAGTTAATTTCATGTAATCGAATGAACTATCTTATAAGTAAAGTCGTCCCAGGAGCGCAACTCAACAATATTGACAATATCATTTTAAAGTCGTCTACTTTAAAATGCATAATGTATGTCTGAATTGTCAATATAAATGAGTCAGATAAAATTAAATAATTAGAAGAATTTTTCACTATGTAACAAAAAACAAAATTTGTTTAATTTACTCTTTGTATTTTGAGAACGATTTCCGAAGTGGAAATTGAAACGTCAATAAACGTATTTTTATCTTTAATTGTGGCTTATATCCAGTTTAATAGTAGTTAATTTACAATGCCACAAGAAAATAGCTTCAGTACAATATTAAGAATAAAAGAAGGTTGAATAAAACGCAATAAAATGTATATTTTAGGATAAGAGCATATAATATATATAATACTATCAGTAACTGTTTAAGAATAATTCGGAAAAATTAAAATCTAGATTTTTTAAAAAAGTTACGCCATTATCAGGATCAATAGGTTAAGAAAAAAAATGAAAACCTGACCATACTTTAATCAGACTGTTGATGGTATTTGATGATGATGACTGTGGATGCAGAAAAAAGAAGAATCATCTGTCGAGGAAGTAGGTTTAGTTACACATAAAAGAGTAAAAAAAATTCATTTTCAGATATATTTTTATGAAACTCCACATCTAACGAAGTATTAGAACTAGTTTTTACAGCAAATAAAAGTAGTAACACTTTCATAATAATATGTGGAGACTCTAACGCCAAAATAAGAAAAAAAAGAGCCTCCATCCTAAATCATGCATGGCATGTCTATACTAATGCGACAGCATTCAAACCTGAGTAATACGGTGGCAATCTAAGCTCTTCATATCCATGTCCACGTATCAATTTAGTTCTACAATATGTAAGAACAGCGCTGAGAATTTAATGCTTAACGTTAGGCAGGCACCCATTTTGGAGCCATTATCAAGAGTAATACGGTTTCGTTCGAGTTCGGGATCTCAATCTGCCTACTTCCCTTACTCGTGACGTACCAGTATCGTGTTCTGTATAAATCCAAGAATTGTCAAACGACACTGAGGTCTTAGTCTGCCTACTCCTCAGTGTCAAGTGCCGGAATTTCTGTCGGTGTTATGAATCGTGATATGAGTCGGTGAATCTCTGGGTATGATAGATTTTTTACAAAACGTCTACCACAAAGCCCAAATCAACAGAAGCATTTAAAAACATCTAAACCCCATTCCATTCAAAAAAGAAACCTTATCTCCGGATTAACCTTTCTACCAAAATCTTCCTCTCTTTCCAAACTTTTATTATAGGTGTCACTGACAAGATTAGTAGAACTCTTATCCATCTAAATATGAAAACCATCTTCTTTACTCATTCCAAGTTGTCCAATCTCGTCAGATCCGTAAAAAACCAAATCCCCAATGAAGATCATAGTGTCTACGAAATACTTTGTTCTAGTTGCCAACGTTCATACATAGGACAGACAAACCAACCAATCTATAACCGCATTTACGAACATTCTCTATCAGTCAAACATTCTGATACTACTTTAGCCCTAGCCCAACATCATATTCAGACAATATTCAGACAGGCCACAACAGAGTTTTCGAAAAAGCAAAAGTCATCGCCCCCATCCACTCCTTAAAATTGATAGCCATTCATGAAGCCATCGAAATTAAAAAATGACCCAACAGCTTAAATACGCGCGATGACGATAAACGATTGCCGGTAACATGGCGACCGCTACTTCAGTGAACTCCCACCTCAACCCACACCACTCAGACCACGTCAGCTCAGAACACGTCAGCTCAGACCACGTCAGCTCAGACCACGTTAACTCAGACGACGTCAACGCATACCGTTCCCGCTCATAATGATAATATAACAGTAGCCACACAGGATAAGACCGGTCTTCACTCGACACTCAGGGGTAGGCAGATTGAGACCTCCGTGCCGTTTGATGGTTCTTGTAATTATATATAACACGATACTGGTACGGCACGAGTAAGGGAAGTAGGCAGATTGAGATCACGAACTCGAACGAAGCTGTATCACTCTTGATATTGGCTGTAAAATGAGTGTCGAGTATGAATGGGTGTAAAGTATTAAAGATTCTTCAGAATTTGCAAATAAGATCAATGGGTTTTTACTACCTTCAGGATATGTCTTGGTGAGTTTTGATGTTACTTCCTTGTTTACCAACATCCCTCTCGAATTGGTAGTTTCTACTCTGACAACTAATTACCATATTATTAAACAGAACTGTACAATTCCCAAAGTATTGTTCCTGAAACTGATTACCTTTTTATACAATAATAAATATTTCACTTTCCAAAATGCATTCTACGTTTGAATAAAAGGAGCATCCATGGGTGGAGCTATATCCATATCTTTGGCAGAAATTGTAATGAACTCCTTATTTCACTACTGTACTTAAGAAGTTGATTTCAAGTTCAACTTCATTTACCAATATGTAAACGACCTCATATGTGCAGTCCCTGCTGACAAATTCAACTACACTCTTAACGTTTTCAACTCATATAACACTCACCTACAATTTACTGTCGAAACAGAAGAAAATAATAGTGTGCCATTCATCGACACCAAGGTATCCAGACATAAGGACAATACAGTAAGGTTGGACTGATATAGAAAGAAAACATTCTTATGTAGATATGTGCTTCTTCACTCCTATCATCCAGACGAGCAGAAGATTAACATCATCAAAGTTCTGAAAAACAGAATAAAAAAAATTTGTCACCCTTCTAACTACAATAAAAACATCAAGTTACTTATTAGATAAACAAGGGTTTATCACCACAGATCACAAACCTTTTTAGACAGTTCAACATACTGATAGCAAATTCAGTGTACAAAAAAATTAGGGGCATACTTTACTCACCTGACAGACGGAGTTAAAAAACTAGATAACATCAATGTAGTGTATTCTGTTCCATGTGGTTCTT